GGCCATGAGTGCTCAGTGCCCAGGGGCCCCTGGAGGTACTAATCCGGCCTTGCTGTGAGAATGGATCTGCAGAGAGCATTTCGCCGCGATCCCAACTCGTCCATCACCAACGTTCAGGGAGCTCTATGCAAGTCAATGGGACGCCCTGCCCGTTGAAAACTGACTCTCAAGGGGTAACCTGTGCGTAATAGGGTGACGGGGAGGGGCCCTGACCGACCGTCAACATGTTACGGGTTGGGAATGAGAACGTGTTGTTCAAGCCCACATCAGACATCCAAAATATCCCTTTAATTATTGAGAAAAGTTCATTGGGAACTATACTTGACTTGTATACAAATAAAAAGGCCATATAATGTAATTATACATTAATTTCTGAGGGGATGCTTCTTACTGTTAGACTATCTCAAAATAATACATTTCAAACAATAAATGGCCAATTGAATCAGAAACACTTCCTATCCCCAAGATGCAAAAGAGCTTTCCAAGAATCATGCTTCCTTGTCTTTTGAGCTGAAAAAAACTAATNTCAGACCATGGCTTTGGAGTCCGCTGGGCTTGGTGCATTCTACGCAGGCCCTAACTGCTCCAATACACCTTCTCAGCTGCTTACTTATTGATCGTTACTCTGCCGTGTGAATTGATTTCACCAGGCTGAGAACGACCTTCAGCTCTGGAAACCACAGGCAGTCCTGCGCGCTGCGCCCTAACGCTAGTTGCATAATCACATGAGCTGGTCCGTCGCGTGCCTGGAAGATACCAAAAGAGGTTTTGAATGTGCACTTCTACTAAGACCACCTCTCTCAATCTTCTTGGGGAAGTACGCTTAACCTGAAGAGTAGTAAAGAGTATACGATTATAAGCATCGTTTTCAGTTCATAGAAGAATTGTTGCGTAGTGGAAATGTCAGAATACACCCATTACCAGTCTCCACTAGATGTAAAACAGCAGCAGAAGCTAGTATTAGATATCTATTGGCATGTAGTATTCAATAATCGAGATACTCAAAGTACAGCTATGACCAGTACATTATTAGCAGATAGTAATTGAGAACAGATATATATCAAACAACACTAAATAAATACTCTAATAATAACATGGCACTATATAAAGAATATTAATCGTGTACGTGATTAAGTGTCTGTATAACAGATAGTAATCTCAAACAGCAATCTATACATACATAATAATATGCATATTTATTTATTGCGAGTGCTTTTCTTAGATAGCATCAACAGACACTCTACAGAGTAAAAATGTTAATCTATTTAGAGCATGCGTACAAAGTTGCACACGAAGTACGCTGTAAGTATTTATGTAGATATCATTTAAATACATACAGCGTGTTGCTTTTGCCTAATTTCCTTTTTGCACACTGCAGGACGTGTTGAAATTAACTTAATTTATGATCTTGTATATTTTGCGACGCACGACCTATAATAAGAGATGAATTACTGCAGAATAAATAAATAAGCAAGATTATATGTAAAACATGACTATTAAAATGGATTGACAGTGTGATCCCTGGTCTCGCAGAGGAAGTCAAAGCCTGCTGTTACCTGGATTTTAATCGAGTCCATGTGTTGATGCAACAAGCCCCGCGCTCAAGCAGCAGAGTACCTCATACTCGGCCCTACGCGAAACATAATGGACACCTCTTTCATTTCTTATTTTTTTTGGATAACTCTCTGTCCTCTCTGTTTCTGTATAATCTTCGTTCCTTTTCTGATCATTTCAAGCCACAATTATATCATTATGCAGTTCTGTCACAGGGAGCTTTACGGAGCAAGAAAGAGATGCAATACCGACTGAGAAAGTGGAGATGGACAAACAAATGCCCTTAATATTTTTTCTTGCGCAATATTTCCACTTCTCCCTCTACTCCCAGAAGCTGGGTAATGTAGAATACACTCTTAAACTATTGTGAGGGCATAATTTATGATCTTTGACATAAAAACCTAGATATTTAACTTTGCTAGTTGACGTTATGACCAACCCTGGGCTCTGTTATCTCCTGTACGCCGAATCGTGCTAATCAGTCATCTCGCATTACCTCTTCTGTCCGATTTCTCTCAGGTCACAAATGCGCTTTATGATGAGAACGACTGGCCTTCGAGGCCATTAACGACGGTCAGACACAAGTGAATCATGGAAGACACCAAGCTGTTTAGACTATTCTCCCCAATATGAGTTGATTAACATCATCTGTAACCCCCTCCCTATCAGAAGAAGAGACACTAGGCAGAATTCGATGCTGGCAACCCAGACGACCCGTCAGCAAGTCAGAACCTTTAGCTGCTGTGCTTGTGATGTGCAAATTCTCGGCCGAATACTTGTAATAAACCACCAGTGTTTGACGCAACTCTCCTCGTTCTCTCTAATCACTCCCGTCACTGTCCATTGCTACGCCAGAAGATTTCCTTACACTATAAAAAAGTACAAGGGCTATTTTTGCCTTCATATCTTCTTTCATCTATTTCACAAGATTCAAATTGTAAAAACTTCCCAGTCACTTCACATAGACAGCGTTTTCATACTGTGCCTGTTGCTTCTTCCAAATCAGATAGTGTATACAACATGGCAAAACAGAAAGTACCGTGGAAGGTCGGCACATTTGAATAAATGATCAACTTTCAAACATATAGTGTACTAAACTGGCAGGAAACAGACGTACGTACCGAGGCATTTGCACTCAAACATGGTCCCGTAACTGGAATAATCAGAGCGGCTTGCCCAAACTGGCCGAAATAACATGAATGAAAAATATCAAATGATAACGCTTTTAATTTCCTAAGTCTAGAAGGAGTGAGAATACTTGAGAAGTTCTGTCTATTCAAACAAGCCATGATTTAATTTCCTCTTTTTCTTCCTTTTTTTGAGTTTAATTGTTTTACCTGTTATAGAAACATGTTTAAAGTAATATAATACCATATATACTGTCTGTCTTAGTAATTCTTTATATACTACACTATACATTCCTAAAATGAAAATATCGATAATCACACGAAGAAAAAAACCA